TCTGTCACAGCAGAGGAGCTAAGTACCTTCTGCATGATGAATGAGTGAACTGAAAAGGATACATGAATGGGTGCCCCAGTTAGCCATGCTGCTGTGTGCCGGGCCAGGATGCTTTCACCAGGGGCTTTGCTAATCTGAACCCAGCTGGCACTGGAGTGAGTGTCCCAGTGTAACCAATACATAATTCCTGATTAAAAGAGCTCTTCCAGACTTCGCAATGGGGGATTACAGCACAGCAGGCCTGATAAGGTCACTTCCACTGCTCTCCCTCTTTACAACCCACAAATTGGCTCCCCCTGATTTATTTTTGCTATCATGATAGTTTGCTATTTCCCCTAAAGCTGTGTAAGAGATCAGCATCAATTCCATCTGTCTTATTACAAAGTGCTGTGAGAATACAGACTTTAGGGAAATCACTCACAGTGCATACAAACAGTTTCCCCATCTGTAAAGTGGGAGCAGTAATAGTATCTGTCTCAAAGGAAATGGTGCCTGCAAAGTACTTAGTCTTCTGCCAGTTTTTAATACATTTTTCTTTTAGCTACTATGAAAGAGCCTGAGACAGACACTGCTGGCTACAGGGGGACTGAGCAAGACAGCAGTCTTCTCTGGCCCTTGTTTGTTCTATTGGATCTTTAACCAAAAAGCCAGAGAAGGAGGGAGCTAAGCAATCGCTCAGTGAATAATTACTGAGTACCTCCCATGTGCCTATCCTTGGGCTGAGCACCAGACACAGAAATAACAGTCATGGCTCTTTTTCAGTAGTGGACTCCAGTGTACTAAGAGCTTTAACTGAGACGGATGACGTCAAATATTACAGGAGCTCATAATATGTGCCAGGCAGACATTGTGATAAACACATGTGTATGTGAACAGAAGCGACATTCACAACACCCAGAGCAGCACGAGTGACCCAGGTTTAAGTGAATTCAGGTGCAAAATTTCCCCGTGATTTGCCCAAGGTCACAAAGATACAGACAGCAGAAGGATCTGAACTTGGAGATCCACTCTACGCTCTAACACCCTTCTTAAGCACACATCACATGATTCTCCATGACCATGAAACTGACTCTGCAGATTACAGCCCAGCCAAGACAAATACCTGTGTCTCTCTTCTTCTCCTGATGTTTTTGTGCTCTTTCTCTTTCTTGCCTCTCTCTTACCTCCTGCACTTCCATCAATATTGTCTGCATTATCTATCAGTCATAGAAGCGACTCTTTCACTTTGCTTTGCTGATATCATCCATCCCCGCTGACATTACAGGGAAGAGACAGGCTGCGGTCCTGGAGCAAATGTGATAACTCCAGTTTCTAATATCCATTCTGCAGGGATCCCTGAGCTGGAAAAGGCTCCTCACAATGCCTGGCATCAGATAGCTTTGAGCCTCCGTCCTTGTGTCCAAGCAAAGAATCTCAGGGGTCCCCAAGACCCTCCATCTCCTTTTCTCTCAGTGATGTTTTTCTAAACCCTTGCTCATTTCTTCCACTGCGAAGTGTCAGCTTGCCAAACAGGAATCATTAGTATGTGGTTTATTTTTAACTTCTGAGTTTCAAGCCCAACTTTCTAGAGAAAATGAAGTCCTCATACTATTCCCACCCATGAGAAAATATGGTCCTCCAGCAGTCCCAGCAGGGATGTTGGTACAGTTCAGTGTCTCTGAATGTAACATTTGTGAGACTACACAACAGAAAGAGAATCAGAGGTCTGGGGGGCCAGACTCTCTGGGTTCAAATCCCAAGTCTTCTCCACATCTCAGCTTCTTCTCTGTTTTACCAGGAAGATGATGATGATGATGATGATGATGATGATGATGATGATACTATCTCTGTTACTACTTCGTAGAAAGAATAAGTGAGTTAAAGTGCAGGTCTTTCAACCAATAAACCTTAGTTATATTTTTCCATATGTCCCATGGGAAAAACATCGCCAATTAAATTAATCTCTATCACCTTCTAAAGGTACATTCTAATAGAGAAGAAGAAAGGAGAGAAGCTCCAAATGACTATGAAATAGGAAAGGGCTTCTTAAGATTGCCATAAAAAATGGAGGAAATATGCAGCAACTTTATGCTACCAGGTGATTGCAGCATGATTTCATGTTGCTATACAGAACCTGAAACATCCAGGAAAACAGGAGACAGGAAAGGTGTGAAGCCTGTTTCACAAAGTCAGAGGTGAGGCCACTCTCTGTGGCCACACAACTGGCGAAAGGGAGCTCAAAGACTGGAATAGCGGCTCTGCCTGATGTCCAGTGTGCAATTCAATATGCTGCCTCTTGGTGAAAGCAAACACCTAAAAGACAAACAACAAACACAAAGCCAGCTCAGCACAAAGTACTTCTAAGCACCTGTAAGCTGTGCTATGCACAAAGCACAATTTACTCTTCTTTTTCTCTCTTTTCACCTGCCTCGGTGTGCTCAAGTTTCCAGAAACATCCATGGGGAAGGGCGCTGACTGGTTAGAGTTTCGGAGTGATAGCCAACAATTAAAATGGCTTTGTTGAAGCCCAGGCCACGCAAGGCAGCCACAGGAGAATACCGTGTTCCCTCTGAAGAGGGCAGTGTGCAACCAAGGCCAGGCCTCCTGCATACCTGTAGTTTCCTCTCAGGTCCAGCAGGCTGGAGTCACCACAGCCCACGGGAGCCCAGGCAGCTTGGGTTTCCAAGAGCTTATTTCTGAAGAGCAAACACATCTTCAGACATGAAATAGGATTCTTGAGGTTTGAGCACAATGACACACTGCCTCTCATCAGAGGGTACACAGTGCAAACTGATCCTAAGGTGGTTATGCAAGATGGAAGGCAGAGCCCCAGAGCTTTCTTTTTCCGTGCTTTCACACTTACGTGCCCTCTCAAGCCGGCCTCTACAAAATTAAACAATAGCACAGCATCCCAGATGGTCTCTGATGTTTGCAGAAGAAAGTGTTTCCTTTTCTATGAAGTCTGTGGGCAACAGGACTTCTGCTTGCCTGAAGCAAAATACCTTCCTGAAAACATCCTTGCACAGAAATAAAATGTGGAACTGGGGAATCTCAGCTCCTGGGATGCATTTATCAAGCCAATCACAGTAATTATAATTAGAGCACTAACTAAGCGAAAGCTAGGCATGAAATACATTTGCAGAAACCCTGAACCGCATACACTTAAGCACCGTTTGGTGGCACTTTGATGAATGTCATTAATACATTTTGGGGATGGAGAAGATTAATTTGTTCTTAAATATCTCTGTCTAGTTACATTTGAGGCTTCAACTAGAGTTAAGACAGTGGAGTAAGGGTATGCAGTAGCAGGGTGGTCTAGCTGGCTATTAAATTTTTTTCATTAGACACCCGGTCAAGTATGTTCACTAGGTATTAATCCAGTGTATTAGGTATTAGGAAAGTGTATTATTAGGAAAGTGTATGTAGTAGGAAAGTGAGGCAGAGAACTGAAGATCCCTAGAGAAAATAGAGCTGCAACTCAGCCTTGGTTTTGGGAATGCATTAAATCTACAGTGTTAGAAATCTTTCCACAATCTACATCATCCAGAGAAGGAAGTCCATTTGCAGGGGTTCTTCATTCAGGGGTCCCCTCTTCAACAAAGTCCTATTCTCTTCCCATTACTGTAGGCTCCCTCAGTCATTGGAATTTTTATCCTGGTTTAAAACTTTACTTATTTATATAATTTTTCTTCCCTCCTAGACTATGACCTCCTGGGAATCAGAGATTTTCTTTCTGGGTCTCCAGCACCTGGCAATGACCCAGCACAGAATAGGCACTTGGAAAATGTTGACTGAAGAGTGATCAAATAAGAAAATGAATAAATAGATGAACGAATAGTGAATGTTCCATCCTTCTGGGTGAAGCTCAAATCTACTCAAGGTAACAGTCCTTTACCCACTGCCACATCCCCAGGAGTCAGCTGGCTCTGGTTTGGAAATTCTAGAACAGTTTCAGGAATAATGCAGCTTTCTATAGAACAGCTAAGGAGAGGCAATTTCAGCTGGAAGGGGTGCATGCGTGTGAGGTGTGTGGACATGGTGCTGTGGGCCCCCTTAGAAAGCCATCTTTGAATCACAGCACTGGGCTCTCCTTACACTGTGTTTGGGGAGCAGGTGGCTGATAGCCATGCCTTAGAGCAGCTTCCCATTGTGTTTTGGGACAGGAAGGCAAAGAGTACTATTTTCACAACCCACTTCATATGTGTGTGCATGGGTATTATATGTGATTTCAGAGATAATTGCAGACCTGGATGCAGCTGTAAGAAATGGTAGGTAGACATCCCATCGACTTTTCACCCATTTTCCCCCCAAGGTGGACAACATCACAACCATGATGTGGACACTGGTACACCCTACCCTCCTTACTCAGACCGCATCTGTTTTATTCGTGCCCATATTTGCGAGTCTGTGCGTGTGGAGGGGAGGAGACATATGCATTTATATAGTGTATTCTTTGAATTTCCTAAAACATCTTTCCTCCTCAGTGGAGATGGCCCAGTCCCGTCTGATCTATGGTGTGCAGCAGTTGGCTCCCGGAGGGAGGCATCTGTGTGTGCTTGTATTCATTTTTTGCACACAGCAGGTGCCCAACAATCGTCCACATAAACACTTGAACTTGGATGTCGGTGTGTGTGCAAGGGAGGAGGGCGCACAACGTTTTAAGTAGGAAAAGAAACCATGACGCGTCTGGTATTTTAGAGGCAAAAAGTTGGCTATTTTTCCCACATTTGTGAATTAGCTGGCTGCATAATTGCTTCAAAGCAGTCCTGGTCCACAGGCTCCAATAGCCGAACAGCGCAATTCTTGAATCCTCTTTCCCCTTACACACACACTAGAGGAAGGAGAAGGGGGCTCGCAGGGGTCCACGAGGTCCTCCTGCCCCTACCCCCCACTTTCACCCCTTTCTTCCCCAGGGCTGGACTGTTTCACCCCGTCTCCAGGCAACGGCCAGGCGCGCCAGGCGGGACGTCATTTCCTGAAGAGCCCGCAGGGGGAGGGGGCAGGGAGGGGGTGGGGCGAGGGGGCGGGGCCAAGGCTGAGCTGGCGCCGGCGAAGGCGTCGGAACTCGCTGGAAGACTCGGCCCCAGGTTGCTCAACAGTTCGCAAAGTCCGGGCTCGCGGCGGCGCGGCTCCGTCTGCGCCCAGGTGGCGCAGGGGCGCGGGTGCCCCGGGTTGCTGCATCCCGGGGCTACCAGGGACATGCTGCGCACCCCTGCCAGAGGATCGCGTGGCTCGACTGGTTGCGACTCGGGGGCTCTGGAACTATATTGATACCCGCTCTAACTTCTGACTTTGGGGTCCCCCAGCCCTAGAGAAACGAGCGGCCCGGCTGGGGGAGCCCGGGGCATGGTGTGACGGGGCGGTCCGCTTGGCTGCGCCCCTCACTCCAGCCGCCCGTCGTCTCTGCGCCTGCAGAATGTAGCTGCTGTCTCCGCGCCCCCGGCCTCCAGCCGCAGTCTCCACGACCGCCGGGCTCCAGCCACCAACACTTTGTCCCTCGGGATTCCTCCGTGATATCCGCGACCTTAGGATTCCAGTCGCCGTCTCTTCGTCCCCCGGGTTCCAGTTTCGCGACCCTCGCAGTCTTTGCGTCCCCGGGACTCTAGCAGCGGTTTCCGAGACGCCCCAGGATCCAGCCACTGTTTCCGCCCCCCTCCAACCCAGACTCCCGCCGTCGTCTCCGCGCGCCTCTAAGCCAGACTCTAGCAGCCGCTACTGCCCCCGTCTCCCGGGACCCAGCACCGTCGCCTCGTCCCCCGCTGCCCAGGCTCCAGCCGTGACTGCCGCGCTCCCCAGATCCAGCTGTCGCGCCCGTGCCCGCGAGGGCAGCAGTACCCCGCGGCGCGCCTCGAGTCCGCCTGGGCCTCGGCGGGATGAACGCGCAGCTGGACGGCCTGTCGGTGAGCTCGTCCTCCACCGGATCGCTGGGCTCGGGGGCCGCGGCGGGCGGCGGCGGGGGCGCAGGGCTGCGGCTACTGTCTGCCAACGTGCGCCAGCTGCACCAGGCGCTGACCGCGCTGCTGAGCGAGGCGGAGCGGGAGCAGTTCACTCACTGCCTGAACGCGTACCACGCGCGCCGCAACGTCTTCGACCTGGTGCGCACCCTGCGCGTCCTACTGGACAGCCCGGTCAAGCGGCGCCTGCTGCCCATGCTGCGTCTGGTCATCCCGCGCTCCGACCAGCTGCTCTTCGACCAATACACCGCCGAGGGCCTCTACCTGCCTGCCAACGCCCCCTACAGGCAGCCCTCCTGGGGCGGCCCCGACGGCGCGGGCCCCGGGGAAGTGCGTCTGGTGAGCTTGCGGCGCGCCAAGGCCCACGAGGGCTTGGGCTTCAGCATTCGCGGGGGCTCGGAGCACGGCGTGGGCATCTACGTTTCCCTGGTGGAGCCGGGTTCCCTGGCCGAGAAGGAAGGGCTGCGGGTCGGGGACCAGATTCTGCGTGTCAACGATAAATCCCTGGCCCGGGTAACCCACGCCGAGGCTGTCAAGGTAGGGCTGTGGTTTGGACAAAAGATAAGGAGCAAAGCCTGAGGCAGAGAGCGCCCTCCTTCGGTAGCTCCACGCTTAGTGTCCTTAGGCAAATAGCTTGACCTTCCTGGGTTCCATTTTTCGTAACTTTAATGCAGGCACAGCTAGTTTGTAGGCTAGATGCCAGGCACTGAGGCTATACCGATGCCTTGGCTTTGTGGGGTCGCCTCAGTAGTCGTAGTCTCTCCCCCTCTTCTATTCTTGACTTTGAAACAAAGTTCTGCTGACTCTCAAGTGGCCTGAGGAGGGTTTGGTGACCTCAGAGCTCCGACCCAGCCCAGCCTGTGTACCCTGGAGCAGGCACTGGCCCTCTCAGAACCCGTGGTTCTCTACTTGGAAAACGAGGCAACTGGAGCAGATAAGTGGTCCCTACCTAACCTTGCCTGATTGATAGAAATAAATCCTTTGGCCCCCATGAGCATATCTGTGCTTTTTGTGTCTGCTAATTGAGAAAAATAACCTCGTGACAACCAGCTTCTGGGGATTTAATCGTGTGTTTGAAGAAGTGCACGCTTTGCTAATCTGCTAGCCCAGGGCTGTTGAAAACCAGTTGGAGTGTGAGATGGATAGCGCTTGGTCCCTGGATGGATTCAAGGGCCTCTTACAAACATTTAGCTCCCACTTCCTTCCCTGTTTGCAAGAAGTGAAGGGTTTTGAGGGAGACGAACGCCAGCACAAACTGTGCTTCTGCAGAGCGGTGCTTCCCAGGGTTTTGGGCTGGCCTGCGACCTCTACACTGTCCCCCCTTACTCCTGCCTCCTCAGCCCAGGTGTTCTGAACTCCAGCCAAGGGCCCGCTGGCTGCTGGGAAACTCCCAGGCAGCTGAGGTCCGGGGCAACTTTCTGCGTGCTGTTCAGTGATCCGGGACCAGGCTAGGTGCGCTGACTCTGGCTGTGTACCTGGGACACCACCATCTGCCTTTGACCTTGGCCTCCCCCATTTGCTTTCTAGCCCATGAGCCCTTCTGGGGAGACTCTGATGCTTTTGCAAACTTCTTTGCAGTTTCTGGGAAAAAGCCGATCGCATAGATTGTTCCAAGGTACAGTGGGCAAAGCTCTCTGTGGGTCCCACACAGCAGCTTTCTCTGTCTCCTCCCTGACATCCATCTTTCTCCTTTATCTAGCATTCCTTTCTTTATAAAGAAATAGTCCATTAACCTTGGCCCTAAAAGGTCTAGAGGTCCTAGATGATAAATTTATGCTCTAAAGATACTTGATCCAAATGGTCATTTATATATGTGGATTCAATTTTAGTGGCAGTTTAAAGAGACTGGGGTAACTTAATCATCTTGAGGTGATAGGCTTTGGAAAAGCTGTCAGTTAATCTGAGCATTCGAAACACTAACTATCCCTGTACTTCACTTCCTGGACCCAGCCGTGCCATGAGGGTCAGCCTGCTTGGCTGTGTGCTTCAGTTTCCCAGCATTTCATTGATCTTGCTGAGGACCCTCTGTCTGAGCTGGGACTCAGAGCAGCCCCCAGCCTCTGTTCCTTCACTTATTCTCATCGCTTGCAGAGTGAAACCTCAGCTCTCTGTGCACAGGTTTTGAAGCCCAAGAAAGAGCACCTGCCACTGAGGGAGAGCTGGACAGGAGCAGGACTGCCCTTGAAGTGTGGCACCTGTATGCTGAGCCTCCCGCTTCACCCCTGCTTTTTCTTTCCAGGTATGACTGCTAGGGCAGAATGAGCCCCATGTGGGCCCATGGTTGCCCCTCTTCTGGCCAGCACCAGGCACATAATCTACAGGAGACAGACCTCTTTGGGGCCTTCAGCAGCAACAGAAGTGAATGTTGCTTTGTGTTTCATGAACTCCAGGGAGAGAAGGGGATGGAATTTAGGGTAAGATAGAGGAGGAGGCCACTGTAGCATTACAAGATGTACAGCTGGCTTCAAGGACAATGAAAAGAATAGCAGTGCAAAGAAGAGGAAGGGAAAAAGAGAGATTAAGTGTGTATATATGTATGTAATTTAAAGAACATTAAATTAAAATAAAATTTTCACCTTTTTTGTAGAGCTGGGGATTGAACCCAGGGTCTCACACATACTCAGCAAGCGCTCTATTACTACACCCCCTCAGCCCAAATTAAAATAAATTTTAAAAGTCAAGTGACTTAAGAGTTTATGAATCAGAGAGGGTCACAGCTTTTTAAAGAAGGGAGTAAGCAGACACAGTTCTTTGCCACTTCTTTTTCTGACAGATGGGGGGTCCATTGTTACTCAGAGCACTTTACTGAGGATTTTATCAGGAATATAATTGCAAGTAGCACCCCCCATTTAAAGCCCATTTACTGTATCAGCAGTGACAGGTATACATAAGACCGTCCGTGTGCTACTTGCAATTATATTGAGATGTTTGATTTTTGCAAAAATCTTGAATGAACAGGAGCCAAACTAGTAATAATAAAGTAGATCGTTCAAAGTTTTTCAGCCGAATATGCTTGATAAATTGGCCAGTGGGACCACAGACTCAGGATTCTGCATTAGGCTTTGCTGCACACTTGCTGTGTGACCTTGGGCCAGTTCCTGATGATCGTCTATGTGTTCCAGGGTGGACGGATCAGGGGCTGACCAAGGTCCTTTCCAGCCCAGAGTCTGATTTGCTTGATGTGTGCTACGCAGAAGGCATACAGAATGTCTAATCTGCTGTTTTCTTTTTCTTTAGAAATTTGCCTGCATTTAAGGCCAAGACAGTTGGCTAAGGACTAGGAGATGAGACTCTTGGCAGTCTTGCATAGCATCATACTAAATCAGGAAATTGATAGGTTACATGCTGTACCGATGAGGGCCGGACTGCTGTGTCTCAACCCAAGAATTCCAAGGCTGGCACTGTTCTGGAGCCAGTGAGAAATGACAGTAGGATTCAGGCACAAACAGCACCACTCTGAGAATACACAAAATTAAATTCACTTACCCACCTGCTTTCTCAGTCCCCTGGTTATGTGGATAGTGCCTTGGGCTATCCAGGTGCTCCTGGGATGTGTGTATGTCTGTGTGTGTTTCATCTCGATAAAAATCAAACAGCCTCATTACAGTCTCAGCATTCCCACAGGTAAATCCACGGAGCATATTAAAATTTGAAATGTTCCAGAAGTTACAAACTGTTGCCGTCCCTTTCATTTAATTAGAATTATCATACCTTTCCTTCCTTTGCATAATAACCAGGAGGAATCTGTCTGGATTAATATCAGTCATTATATTTGGTTCAGCAGGTTCTAAATGACACATTTGTCATTTTCCCATCGTACGTGGTTAGCTGAAGCCATTACAAATTATTCCAACTTCCCGCTTCCTGTGTGAAGTGTAGGTCTTATTCCTGTACTCAGACAGGCTTCACTCTGCATTCACTTTCAGGTCCCATGAATCAAGTCAGCAATGACATATGGAAAGACCACTGTGTATAAACCCTTGACCGAGTAGATTTTTGGCTTCTGCATATCCAGAGTTCATGTTATACACTGACACACTCCTTCAATTTAGTCTTGTATATTTATTTGGCTCAAGCAGACACTCAAAGCTTTAGAAAATTATGACGCCGATGTAGGACCAAATCCTCTTCTAACTGGTTATTTACTGCTCAAATCGAAGAAGCATTTTGCAGGGTGAAAGATAGTGCCTTTATTTATTTTTAAGAATTCATATTTTTAAAGAAGATTCTTGCCTCCTGAGTTGAAGCTGGACACAAAAGAGATGTGGCTTCACCCCAGTGCTAGCTTCTGGTTCTTCATTCCTCTCTGCCGGCAAACCCAATGTTGTTTATTGCTTGCCATAGATTCACCATTTGGCTGGAGCTGCAAAGAGAAGTGGGATCCTTTACCCTCCAACCAATGGGACTGTGAGTGTGTTGTTGCTTCCCACTTCCTCCTGCCTCCCGCCACAGTCTGCAGGCACCTGTCAAGTGCACACAGCTCCTGGTGAGTGTGCCTGTCTGCTCACGCTCACAACACGTTTGCATCTCCTCAGGTCTTAATCTTCCCTCCACTCTGCAAAGGGCTTTGCACCAAAGCAGGCATGCAATGGGGATTAGGCTCCAACTGGCCGTCTAGCGGGGTTCTTTTATAGCCTAGAAGAGAAGCCTTCAGTTCCTGCAGCTCAGGGACCCCAGACGGCTTCCCAGCCAAGACCAGAGAATCTGATTAGAAGGGATGACATTAAGTGGCTGGAGATTGCTGGAGGCTGAAATATAAATCTTTGCAAATGGATTCTGTTCCTTTGTTTTTTTTTTTAAACCCCCAAGCAAGAATCCAATATTAACTCTAAGCTCACGCAGGCATCTAATTGTGCCGCAGGGTAGGGGTGCTTGAATTTCTGCACCGTGACATTTGCCTTTTGCTCTGACAGCCTGGCAGGTGGAAAGGGTGCAACATGCGAAGCAAACTCTCTCTCCAGTGTTTCCCTGTGCATTCCTGGTGTTAGCTGCAGGCAGCGACACCTTGAAGCCAGAGCGCTTATGGGCAGTGGTGGTGGTTGCTGGTAGTGTTTTTTATTTTTGAGAGCAGTTTTAGGTTCACAGCCAAATTGAGCAGGACAGATTTCCCATATAGCCCCTGCCTCCAAACATGCTTAGGCTCGTGACTTGTCAACATCCTACCAGAGTGATACATTTGTACAACTGATGAAGCCAGACTGACACGTTCCTATCACCCCATCTGTATTTATATTGCACTTGTGGTTTAACTTTCCTTTGCTGAGAAGGGAAGCGTCCACCTTTGCTAGTGCCTGCTGTTCTGTGCTGTGTGTTTTATTCCTTTTGTGCCAGGGGAGGCAAAAAAGTAAGGAGGATCATGGTCAAGGTTGTGAAATGGGCAATCCCAAGGTCATCACAGATTAGGAACAAGTGTCCTGCCTGGAGCTCAGCCCCAGGGATCCAGAGCCAGCCTCCTGGATCAATCCCCCCTAGTGGAAGGCAGGAAGATGTCTGTGCCATTTTGTGCATGACATTGAGGGTCTTTTGAGTGCCATCCA